GAAAATTTAATAATGAAAAAAGTTAATATTAAATATAAATAAATGTTCATACCTTGCTCCTAAGGGACAACCAGGTAGAGAATCAAAGCGCGTGGACTTCATTGTTGGGCGAATGCTAGGGATGCGTTCTCATGCCCAAACCTACACATATCGACCGACATATGCATTTTTTGTATTAGATATTAGTCAGAATAAAAAAAATGAAGTTTTAAATAACAACTAAATAAATGTACCTGAAGCAATTGCACACAGCCCTTCATCTAGCCTTGCCCAGCCCTTCCATTTTATTATATAAGTCATTCGAATACAAAAATATTAATCTCAACAAACAATATCATTCAATATACATACAAAACAACTAGTTCCCCCAATCATCAAGGAGTCGAGTTCGATCCACATGAGGATGCGAATACGGGCAATGGTCCGCGAAATGTTCGGGATCACCACATCTACTGCATTGATCCCGGCCCCTTCAGCGGCGCGCCCGACGATCCATTTGCATTTTTAAGCGTCTCGTTTGGGCGCGACCGGGTCCAGGCTTCGAGATGATTCTTTGCCAATGCGGAATCAAATTCCATCCCACCTGCGGCCACGTGTCAGGATTTCCAATTGGAGAAAAATTCCAATTAGAAAATTGATCAACCCAGTTCATAGTCCAAAAGTGGGAATCGTACAACTTCGGTTCATCAGCTCGGTAACGACACACGGCTAATGCATGAGTGCATGGTTTCCGATATGTTTGCCACTTTCGACATGTACACTTCTTCTGCTGATAATGAACCTTAAACCTGTTTTCCACAATTATTTATATATATATAAATAAACACAAAAAAAAAATCATTTCAATGGAAAAAAATTAAAAAAAAAATGCATACTTGTTTTACCCTCTTCCACTGGCGCGTAGACCAGTTATGACCGTGTACTGGGATCCGTCGGCGTCCACACATTCCACCTCGTGAGTCGTCGCTGTCCTCTCCAACTCCAGATAGGCGGCATAGAGGTGGGTAGGAATTTGACTCCGACAGCTTCTGGACTTTTTTTGTTCCTGTTGGAACAAATCTAGAGTCTTGTCCATTGTCGCCTGTACTAATGCTCTGCAGTGCAGGAACCTAACACCTTTGAGGACGTTGTTGTAACTCTCTGACATATTGGTTGTCAGAGTGCCCCATCGACGTCTGTTATCTCTGTACAGGGTCCACTTTTCTAAAGGAATTTGGAAAAGGTAACTGCCTGCTTCCGGGTGACATTCCTGCAGTTGCTGTCGAGCATGCTCAAATTTGCGACGAGAACACAATGAACCCAACCTCCAGCACAGAACCCGGACTTTCTTACTCCGATACCTTGAAACCACGTTGCTCACGAGGTGTCGAAGGCATATCCGATGAAATGCATGCGGTTCGTGCCAAGCCTCCAGTAAATCAACGGCACTCAATATGTCGTTGTCCCTGTCGGAAAGAAGACATATCTGCCTGTCAGAGAGGACATGATTGCGCAGATGTGTTAGGAAAAAGGACCAGCTAGCCGTGCTTTCTTCGTCCACAATCGCATACGCGACTGGCAATAGACGCTTATTCGCGGTCTGTGCTATGGCAACAAGCAGCTTCCCCTTGTACGAACCTGCTCAGTTGGACATATGTTTTTTTTATCAGACACTATTGTATGTCAGAAAATAAAAAAAAAATACATTTGCAATTAACAAGTACATTCCCCTTGTACGAACCTCGCAGTGCGTGCCGTCGATGCTAATAATTGGCGGGCAAAGATGGAAGGTTCGAATGGCGGGCCCGAACGCCCAGAAGACAAATTTGAATTCTCTGTCTCGAGAACGACGAGCCATTTCCCCATCCTGCCATTCCCACTCAACGACTGTGTCGGGATTCGCCCTTTGAAGGCAGCAAAAAACCTGAAAATTATAAAAAGGTACCCATACATAAATAAATAAATAAATATAGTTACAAACACGTAAATACATTGGTAATTAATTTTTGCTTACTGGGGGAGTTGTGCGAAGTTCGATTTCCACGTGCCATACAGACGATCAATGACTTTTTTTCTCCCGTGCCACGCCTTCTTGTAGCTCACATCGACGCTCCAGGCACTTTTTATGTCGGCCTGGACCATTTCCACACTGTAGGTCACCTGCTTCTGAATCTTAGGCAACAGAAGATTTGAGATCATGGTGGCCGTCACATTCTTGTGGTCATTTCTCTCGACCACCTGCATGCAAGTGTGCCTGTCGGTCCATTCGGTTACCTCCCACATGTCGAGCACCTGTGTATTAAGACTCACCCGAGCCTTTCACATACATGGTACACCTTCAACCGATCTGCACACAATTTTGAACGACTTCTTGTTGGAATCTTTTGTCCGGACCGCCCTAAGATTCTCAACATTCCATGCCATAACACCAGTCTAAGCTTCTTCCTTGGTACGAAAAACTATACCCAAACGGATAGTCTCGACATGCCCATTCCAGAGTGGCAAGGCATACTCGTCCCTGTCTACATACGACGGGTCCCACTCACCCATCTCGCGATATACGTGGAGGCCTTCATTTGGAAAGGGGTGTTCTTCAATGAATTCTTGTTCGCTTTCCTTATTAATTGACCTGTCCGATTCGGTTTCCGAGGTCTCATCAGTTAAATCGTCTTCACCGGGACTGAAATCTTCATCTCCAACAATTTCTTCCTCAATGCCCGGTCCTCTCATGGTAAAGCTCATCCCTTCACCGAATTACTCGTCCCTTCACCAAAATTACCGGCATGCGTACTCCACGTACCCTCACAACCAAACACTCCCCCGTAACCATATGATGGCGTAGGATCCTCAACATGTGTAACCTGTGTGTTTGCTTCCAACACAATATACAAAAATACAAAGGACATACGAGGATAGTAGTAAATCAACGAAAGAGCAGTATCATTATTCATTCTTGCAGAAATAAACAAACCATCCGGTTGTTTGACCATCAAATTAATATCCGAAATGGTCCAACTATCACGAAATCCACCATTTTCGTAAATCATATCTACCAATTGTTCATATGATATTATTTCATTAATAACAAATGAACAATCCGGACTAGCCAAATAATTCGAAAAATTTCCTAACTCACTCTTAGGAATTTTCCAGTACACATTAACAATGTAGGGACCGATAGACGCCATTTATAACCTGTTACACAAAAAAATTCTATTTTACAAATTACAACAAAATAATGTCTATTTAAAACACATTTTATTACTCCAACAAAAAAAAAAATATTACCGATCATATAATCGTCTAAAACCCTAATACCCTTATCGAACAATAACATCAAATTTATCTATAATTCGGATAAATTGAAAGCCCGAATTCTAACTCTAATTTCCAAAAACCCTAACCCCAACAACAACCAAACAATACAAAATTGATAATTTACACACAAAATTCCAATCTCAAATTTAACATACATACATAATCGATAATCAATTAGCAATTTACAATCTTCAAACACCAACACATTCAAACATATTATAACAATTCTCAATCTCCAAACAACTCCAAATATTGTAAAAAGTTAAGATAAGTCAATATACCTCGTGCGAATGAATTAACCGGAAAGGAGTCTCGTATCGTTGTTGTCGGTTTACGCCGGGGTGAGAATTGGATCGAGTTTTTTTTTCCGATTGTTTTCGCTTCTCCTTTTCTTTCTCGCTGCTCTCTGCTCTCTGCTCGCGCAAATGAAATGGAAGAGATTTTTTTTAATATTTAATTCATAAAACGTATTCCGAGAATATGTTTACCGACAATTTAATTCTAAAACGTATTTTGGGAATACGTTTTATAATATATATTTTTTTAATAAAAACATTTTTAAAAAACGTTTTTTTATTTAAACCGTTTTTCGGTTTTTAAAAACGTATTTATAGCATACGTTTTATAATTTTTTTAAAAAAAAATTATAAATAGAAAAATACAAATCGTGTTTTTAAAAACGTTTTTTCTGTTTGTAAACAGTATTTATATAATACGTTTTATATTTATTATTTTTTTTAATATTCGAATATTAAAGGAATTTTGTGTTTTTTTCTTAATTTAGAAAAATAATGAAAACGTATTCTCAGAATACGTTTTGTTAAATAATTTTTTTTAGAAAAACGTATTCCGAGAATACGTGTGTTTGATTTTTGTCCAGAAATTTTAATTTTTTTTTTTTAATTTTGTCCACTTATTTTTAATTATTTTTAAATAAATAACCCACCCCCCACTAACAACTAAATATACCACTTTTTTTTTTATTAAATTAACCCTATTTAACTAAAATAAATCACTTTGTGTATATTTATGGTTTACAAACACACCCTAAAAAATGGGTTTATTCTTTTTTCTCCGATAGATCAGACCTCCATCAGGGTTCGAATCCTACCGAGAGGTCCATTATGGACTCACGATTTCCTGATCCACACTTTTGGAAAGTTTGCAATACCACTTGATGTAATGAATCTGAAGGAATTTTCAGACATCTAATTTCATTATTTTTCTTGTTTCTCCCCTTCTTTATTCTCAGTTCCCATGCTTGAAAACATGCCTTGCAAAAGGTTTCAGTGTCATTAGAAACACTGCTTAATGGAAATTACAAATTACAAACGAACAGAGAAGGGCACATCCCTATCAGTTCCCTATTCCAAACAATTCGATTAACTACACAACTTGAGTAGATAAGCAGGAATCAAGCATGAACGTCTTTACCCGAAACCTTATGAGCTGAATTTGGATTTTAAAATTTTGCTCAGCATTTTCAGCAATTGTCATAACCGACGAGGTGAGGTTGTGAAGGTACCTACAGCATTTAGGCAATTTCAAAAGCTGCACATCGTTAAGGGGTCGAATTTGAAAGATATACGGTCGATGAACATAGAAATGAATGGTATTCTCATTTATAATGAAAATAAATAGCAAATACTTCACGAGGTCATGGGGCTTTTTCACACACCTGAACATCTTGAATTCTATGTTGCTTATCTCTTTTCACTTGTTTTACCCCGAAAGTGTGAGAAAAAAGAGAAATGCCGAGTTGCTGTGAAAGAGTTGGAATTATCAGTAAAATAATTACTGAAAGGAAGTTAAGAATATAATGCATCTTCAACAAAAATAAGTACTTACACTTTTGTGGCACATTGCCAGAGGTTTCATCTTGAGAGATTAGATTCTTTAATGTGCCAACTGAGATGAGACAAGAAAGCAAAGGGGCAAAAAAGAAACAGAAAGGAAGTCAGAAAGTGACAATTTAATTTCATCATGCAGAATGGCTGTCAACTTCCACAGGCATTACAAGATAAGCTAATACAGAAAGGTTTGGGCTTGTAAATCTGGCACTCTGCTATTGTTTGCCATCAAACAACTTCTACAAACTATTCCAGACGCTAAGTTTCACTTAAACAGAAACCAAAGGTGAAATGTCACCATGAGAATATGGGATAAGTTCATAAGAAAAGACCATGAAAACAAATTATTAGCACCAAAATATTCTTGCTAGTCGCATGGCGACAATAAACTCCAGCACCGATAAAAAGCAGAGGCGTAATTCATATTATTTAAAGTATTATCCTGTTTGTCTAACATAGATGCCTTATTCTTCTCCCACTCTAATTGTCCAAGTCCAAACATTGGATAGTTAAAACAATTTGATTTGACAAATTTCTCCTCATTTCAGATAAGTTGGTAAATTGGCTACGACACCCATGTAGAGAGATCTCATAACAGATGCTATTTGCTACATGTCTATCTGATTCACATAATTCCAGGTAGAAAAATTCATGTCACCTTCACTTGTTGAAGCCATTTTTCGTGCATTATCTTCCTGCTCAATAACGCCACTGCTGGTACACTCTGAATCAATACTTTGATCTATTGATGAAGTGTGATTTTTCTTTCCAAACTTCAGGAGCCGCCTAAAACCTTTCGGTGATTCCTTCATGGAAACCTTCTCTAAATGTGCATGATCTTTCACTGTTTTAGTAGTTTTTACATCAGGCACTAGTGTTCTGACAGTTCTTTCAGCACATGATACCACTTCAGCACTTCCTTGTGATGCTTTCCTATACTCTGTCTTGTGAGTGCAAGGGTCTTCCAAAGAGGAGACGCGGGCATAGGGAGCTCGGTATGGATTTTCAGCATTTGCGATTTTGGCAGAGGCGGGAGGATCCTTCTCTGAATAGACAGTCTTCACCTGAAAACACCAAGCACCATTAGAATCATAGCATAACTGTTAACAAACTAAAAATGGAAAAGTAACTGAATAAATATTGAATTCTCAACTAGTTTCCATGATAGAAAGCACATAATCTTAAACGTGAGGAAGTCTGCAGACTCTGCAGCATAATACAGTAACAAATTTGACAGGTAACTAACGATCAAAATATATATGGAAAAAGTTGCATGAATTTGCACGTTTTATTTTTCTACCTTCAAAATCTAGATGGGAGGAGATGAACTGCCACAATAGATGAACACAAAAGGTATTTTTTTCATGTTTATTACCTCATTATGATCAGATTCCTTTTGTCTGCGAGGTTCTTTATCAGTTTCATCCTTGTATGAGAGAGAAGTATGTAGGGAAGCCAACTCAGATGTCACACTACCTTTCTCTGCTTGGATACCATTATTCGACTGTTGACTCCATACCTGAGGCTTTGCTTCTGATGAATGCAAAGTAGGAACAGAAGGCCTCTCACACTCGAAGACCAAAACAGTTTTCTCAACAATGGGGTTGTCATCTGCATCAATCTGATGTGATGTATTACAAGTACTTGCACTTAGTTCAGCATTTCCACAGAATGCAGAAGGCTTCACTCCATTTGTAATCTGCATGTCCTTTACTTCTGAATTTTTCTCGCTAGTCTTTACATGTGACTTGGGTGTTTTGATCTTCAGTTCAGGTAGAGTTGCAGCCTTACTTCGATCAAGATCAATGATAGCAGATACTTTGTTCATTTCAGCCCCTTCGAACAACTTCCGTTTTAAAACTGTTTCAGCACTTCGAGCTTTCACTGTAGTAACTGGAGATTTGGGGACTGTTTTGGGCTCTGACAACCTTCTAATCCTAGATATAGAAGCCTTAGAATCAGGAGTCACACCACTCTTTTCTCGTTTTGCCTCGGACAAAGATGACAAGGACCTTATTAACCTGTTCCCTGGCTTTTGGGTACCATCACTTATTTTACTTCCTATGGAGGTTTTATGTGTCTCACTTGATTCCAGTGGAATTCTGACCTTGGATCTCTGTAAGGGAGATGATGTCCCGGCCTCTGCATCACTGAATTTAGATCCTCTATTCGTTGTAGGAGAAACTTTCGTGGGCAATTGTTTTGTCTGACGGGATAGGGCGGATGGCTTTACAGAGTTGGATCCGACTCTAGCTGCAATTCTCTTTTGCCTCTCCAGCTTTAACGATTCAAGTCGTCTTGCTTCTGCCTCTTCCTGTAGAGTATTAACTTAAGAATACAGAGTCTATTTAAAGAGAGTAAAGTAGCATTATAAGAAACTGAAAATGGTGTATGTAAAGTCGAGATGATTTTGGGTCTCAGTTTAGCAATAAGAAGAAACTAACTGGTTGACATGATGATAGCTGAAGTTATGACCCAGCTGCATATGATTGATTATATGAATGTACACTTCTAACCTTACCCTTTTGCTCTAGCAGTAAATTAAGATTCTCAAGAAACAAGAAAATAATATTGCCCACAATTCCAAGGCACCTTTTTGGTGACAACCAAACAATTAAAAAGAAAGTGGACATGCCTCATCATGCAATCAGTAACTTTCCTTGGGACGTGAAACTATTCAATGGAGTGGTTATGAGTTTCACGCATATCATACCTTTTCTTTCTTCATTTTCTGCAGGTCTGCTTTGTAGGACCTTTGTCTTTCAGCACGGGCCCGCGCATCTTCTAAGGAACTCATCATTGACGGTCTGACATTCCTGACAGGGCCTCCACTTCTTTGTTTATGAGGGTCTGATGCAGCCATTGACCTCCTGTTCTTGTCTGATTTACGTAACTTACCCCTCACATCACTAATTTTCCTTTTACCTTTCTCATCCGAGGCTTGTGCACACATCTGAATTTCATACTCCAGACCAATGTCGTATCCAATAGACCTCTTATCAGTCTCCCGTTCAGGCATCAAGCTCAAATCATTAGCTACATAGTTTACTTGCTTCACATTTCTCTCTGAGCCCAACTTTTGACTTTTTGTGGGAATTTCAAAATCCATATCAATAGCAGTTCTATCTATTCCTCCAACTTGATCTGACGACGTCAACCTAAAGGGGACAGCCAAAGTTTCATCACTCATTCTATTCGAGTCTCTATCTATTCTTGTGGTGCCACTCTCCAAATTAATCATAGCTATTGGGCCGAATGAATTCCTGAAATTTGCTTGGTCACCCTTACTCACAATCATAAAATCTTCTTTTGCTGTTTTAAATAAAATCTTTCTTCCATTACTTTCATTAAATTGAACATCTGTTTGATCATTCTCTCTCGTGAAGCCACTATCAGCACTGGAAAGTATAAATTGGTCGCCGGATCCTCTAAGCTTACGAGATGCACTTCCATGGATCCTGTTCATGTCCCCAGTCATATCTCCTCGTATTTCACTTCTATCCCGCACAGAAAGTGCTAATGGGTTTTCAGTTGCAATGTTTTTGTATCTCTGCATCTTCACATCCCTTTCCATTGTGAACATGCCCTCACCGGCAGCATTAGCACCTTCGTCACTTCCTCTCAACAAACAGTCTTGAAATGCCAGCCAGTGCCTGTTGTCACCATCCTGTTGTGCATTAGAGACCTCATCATTGCTGACCTGGCTTCCTCCATTTCTGGAAGACCTCTTCTTGTTCTGATGATTTGCATCAATAACTTTGTAGTATTTGTTCTCTCTACAAATGTCCGGTTGGGAATCAGAATCTGTTTCACTGTTGGATTTCTTCTCTCTAGGAGTGACATAATTAATATTTTGAATCACAACTTTGCCTGGTTGCTTTTTGTTGGAACCTCCAGTTCTTTTGTTTTGTTTCTGACAATATGACACTTCTTCATCTGATGTCATGTCACCTGATGATCTAGTTCCGTCAACGTCCCTCGTCTCTGGTAAGGTATAACTGTTGCTAACATCAAGGGATTGTCTTTTGTATCCTGAATTAGGACCATGATGAGACAAGAAATGCTCTGCAGGGTGATGATGTGGCTGAAAAAAGGGCCCACTGCCTGTGTAAGTCTGATAATACGGCATTCCTGGAGGGGGATATGATGGAAATACTGGATACGCGCCAGCTGCGGCATGCATAGGCCATGGAGGAAATACTATATGAGGAAATTGTCCTTGTAATTCTTGCTTACTGTTTGGGGCTGGAATATATACCAGAGATCAATGAAAATATAAATCATCATTCAATCATCCTATGTCTAGTACTATAATATTTGAACAGATTTTATTTGAAAATAACATTGAGAAATTTTGAGTACTACGAGCCCATCCATGAGTAGCATGCATGATAAGAGGAACATTTGAAAAAATCTTTTATTTATGTGATTCAGAAATTTGCAGTTACACGATCTCTGCTACCAATCAACGGACATCAATAAAGACAGTATGCATATCTAAAGTGAAAAATATAAAGAATGCCTCAGTAACTGATCCCGCCAGGTTTTTTGTCAGGACCTGGAATTTCAGAAGCAAAATTCCTCTCAAATTGAAATGCATTAAGGACCAACTTTTGGGCCCATTTGCTTATAACATCTATTAGAGCTATAATTAGAGATAGGGTTAGGATTCAATTAAGTAGACTAACATTTGATACCATGGGTTATCTTTTGTTGAATAGAATTGTCGGCTTTAAGCTTGGGTGGGAATTTTCTTCTCGAACTGTCGGGCCTTAGGCTGGGTAGGACTCGTCGGGAGTTATTTTCTAAATTAAGTATTGATTATCATTTATTATTTATGTTTGCTTTCACCCTTAACTCTATCAATTGGATGGCTGTTTCGAACAATGAATAAAAAAATATAAGAAATTATAATGACATGATTGCTTATTTATCAGAGATATTCATGAACTATCATTATAAATACCTGGTAAAGATCATACAATCAAGAAGTTTGACTATATGTATGTTTGGCCGGAATATTCCTAAGAATATTCCTAAGTGTTTGAATAAAGTAGACGGTTTGCCAAATGAATTAAGAATAATTTTGCAATAATATTGATGAATTGAGCTCCAACGGGTATGAATATTTCCTATGAGAATGTCAAAAACCAAAACGAAAAAAAAAAAATTCACTCTTGAATATTCAGTATAAATAAATAAAAGAACTAATGCATCCCTAATGTACACTATGTCCTTATTTTACTGAACTTAATCGGCAAAAAAACATTCACCTTTACCACGTGCACTTTATGAGAGAAAAACTGAAGGCGAGAAAACCAGCTTTGTCGCAGGATTCTATGCTATAGAATGGTTTATGCAGCCAACATGATGCAAATGAAATAGAAAGTATGTTATGTAACCATCTTCTACAATCATAAGAGAACTTTAAGTAAAGTTCTCAGCTAGACAAGGCAATAAAACCATTTTCACCAAGCATGAGTACATGATGAGAATATTTGTGTAAATGTAAAACTGAAGAACACATTGAAGCCATAAGAATCACAAATAAGTAGAACATGTTCTACACAATATAAAGCATAAAGAGACCTAAGTCGAGCAAATTTGTCAAGAAAGTGCAAGACAACTCGACATCAGTTCAGACACATAGGGAGCAGACTAGTAATTAAAACAAAAAGGTATAATGAGAAACTTACGCCCATGAATGTGCAGCAACAAAACAATGCATTACACAAGTAAAAGGCTAATGATTAATGACTAATCATTATAACTTAAAGTTATAAAAACAATAATCTAACAATAACAGGGAAAGACAAAGGTCTTGAAGTCCAATTTCAGAACAAAGAAAAGAAAAAAAAAAAAGAAGAAGAAGAAGAAGAATGCATGCACTCAGAAGTTTAATCTTTGGTTTATCCGTTCAGTTTGCTAAGGTAAAACCAATTGAATTCAAATTGTCTATCATTAATCATGGAGATCATATGAAATGGGATTTTCTGAATTCTGGAGCATAAGTACATGAACTATGCTTCTGTTTTGGTTGTTTTGGGCTGAAGTTATTCCTGGAGAATTGTCAAATAAACGCTTAGAGCAATCTAATGTATGTTTGCCTTTAATTTTAACTGTGTCAAATGTATAATGGTTGTAACCTCCATTAGCAGATTCATTTTCTATGATTTCCCTGGTCAAGATGTTCGATTTTTTTAAAATGAAGAAAGATTCTTTCTAGATCAGTACAAAGGTTCATGAAGTTCGATACATATGCCTCTTTTCTGCTAAAATTTTACATGTTGAAATATAATTCTGCAAGACATAATCACATGCAACGACAAAGATAATAAAGACAAAAGATAATAGTGATGAAATGACTGAGCGATGAGAAGTAGGCATGTCTAGAAAGACTTGAACTTACCAGGATTATTTGTTGAGCCTGATTTCCCATTATTTTCAGAGTTCAGCTTGTGATTGGACTCTTCCTGTTTAAGTGAATCATTGATAATAATGCCGGACGAATTAATTGCACAGAAGTCTGACCGAGCGGGCAAATCTTCTGATTCTTCAATATTAAGCCATTGTCCAGTTTCATGCTTACTCTTCCACAGATCAATGAATTTTGAGCATGCCTTCCTGTTACGTAGAACAGAGGCCATTAACGTCTAACATGAAGGTTCAAAGTTTAATGGTCTAATGATCTACATCCTCGGCAGTAGAGTTTTCATTTCTTTCTTTTTTTCTTTGTCTTGGGAAGAAGGGCAGTATTAAGAGAGGGCTTACATCAAACGCAAGGCTCCAAAGCAGTTAGAAAATGATATAAGATGTTCCATGCAATCAATATCAAAACCTGCTGCCACAGCACGTGCAAAGGCCATTCCTTGTTCTTTTTGCAACACTGTTTTACGGGCCTCAAGGACTTTAAGAAGCTGAACCCTGGTTTAGTGGTTTAGTAAGGATGCAATCAAGTTAGCTCTATATATTTCCTTTTATCAAATATCAAATAATTTGACTTCAATCTCATCATTTTCCTAATAACAAACATCCAAATCAAGAATAAATTAACTTTTCTGTAGCCGTGTCTCAAGTCCTCCTTGAAAATCCTCAAGAAACCAACCTAACTTTTAAGAGGGTCTTATTCCGTTACTTCGTTTAATTTTTCTTTTAAAAGCTTGTGGATAGGATCTGGAAGGAGAAAGACATATAAATTTGTTTGCCTTTTTTGTGCTGTAACGAATTGTCTTTGGTCCAATGGAAACTGCCATATAAACCCATGTGTTGTTCCATAGTAACAGGTCAAATTATGGTAAAGGAACCCATCTCCATCCTAATCGTTTACAGTGTGCTCTATCATAAGATAAGCAGTTTGGGCAAAAAAAAAAAAATGTCAGAAAACTGATAAACATAATGTTTTTAAGTGGCGAATGGCAAGACGAGGCGATTGCCCCTTGGCCTCGCCACAAGGCGAGGCGATTCACCATGGTGGCCTCAGCTACACATGCCACCAAAACGTAGAAAAACAATATTATAGTTGTTGCCATTGTATATTTATGTTCAAATGACAAAATAAATGTCAAATATATCCCAAAAAGGCAAGAACACAGATGAAACACAAGTCAATAGCACAAACACCACCTAGGAAAGTACTATAAATATAAAGTTTGGCACACATCATCATCAACATCAACATCAACATACCCAGTATATTCCCAACTGGTTGGGGTCTGGGGGCCAGTTGTACACAGACCTTACCCTTGTAATTATACAAGGAGGCTGTTTCCGTAGCGACCCAAGGTGCATTGCGTCGTTTGGCACACACATAGTTAAATAGTAGAAATAAGCAACAAGCATGTTTAGCACACACATAGTTAAGCCCTAGTTTTTTATCTATGAAAAACTCTGTTCGACGACCAGCCCGTTTCTTTTCTTTTAATCCAAGTCTTATCTTTGCATAGTTAAAAACGTTTTGAGTTTTTATTTTATTTTTCATTTTTATTAAAACAGAGAGGCGCTGAGGCGAGCCTCACAGGCGCCTCGCCGCACGAAAAGACGAGCCGAGCGAACTAAGGCGGGCGCCTCGAAAACAGGGTCACCTTTGGCAGTGGCAAGGTTGTTGACCCCTCGCCTCTGTTGCCTCTCGCCATGGCGTCGCCATTAAAGTACATTTCATGTTAGAACTGCATCACATACCTCGAGTTTTCCTCAGGCGAACACGACCCATTGGTCTCAGGTAGCATTTCTCCAGGCTGTAAGAAAAATTGCGAGTAAGTCACAAAACATGTCACTGAGTGAATCAGGAAAGAACATACTGATTGCCTAGTCACCGTGTAAAGGACAATTGCTTTCTCCTCATTAGAAACAGGCAAAGCTTTGCCACCTAGGTAAAAATTAGGGTGATTAGTGCTGTATTAGTAACTGGAAAAGGTCACTGATGGGAAGTAACATTATATATGATTATCTATAGTCACCAACCAATAGGGAAATAAATATTCAGCACTTATGCACAGATAATAAGTGGTTGATGAGATACAATAATACAATACATAAATACATTTCAGGAATAATTAGTGCTGAGGTATATATCATCAGGAAATTAAAAAAGAGAGACAATCAACAACGCAAGCACAGCTCTTTAGGAAAAGACATTTAATATTTGAATATATAATTGTGTTTTCCAGATACCTTCATTCCCTTCGAAAGGTTTTCTTCCATTGTGTTCCCCCTATACAGAAATTGAAACAAGTGAACTTAGAGTAAGTAAATTGACAAAGAACAGGGAACTTATCCTATTTGAGAGTAGTTTACGATGATTTCTGCAGCATCACTGCTTCTCTGTAAGGTGATTCCCTCCTCAATTTGTATGATCTCATTTTCAATTGTATAGACACGTTCTAAAACCTCTGGGGTGCTCACAAAACGAACAAATCTGTTCAATGAAAATCAGTTTTTTTCTTATCACCACCTCATAGTAAGAATATACAACAATCCCTGAGACAGAAACACAGCTTCACATCTTTTACAATATATTTAGAAAGATTATCAAAAGCAAAAAGGACAGTCAACGAAGCCAAGTGCAGTGTAAGAGAGTGATCGGATAAGTAACGTGTGGACATTCCTATCAGAGGGCTAGCAATTAACATAGAAACTTAATGGTGAAACAACGAAATATACATATCGCAACTATATACACAATGGTAACTCCAGTATTCAAGCATCATGCTCTTATTTTCAGTGCAAAACGGCATATAAGCTACAACAACAAAGTTGAACATCTGTATGGGATTATTTGTCCTGTTAAAATAGAGGCACTCATTTGTCATATCTAGTTTAAAAAGTGAATCAGGTTGGTACAGCAATAGAACGAGTAGAATACGACGGTCCGAAAAATGGACAACAGCAGCAGCAGAAAACTACAAGGTTCAGGCTCACAACAAACTTTCAAATTGTACTACATATATTGTTGTTTCTTTAAGAAAAAAGAAAACAACAGGTGCAGGTCAAGCACAATATTATATATCAGTGGAAGGCATGCTACATCACTATGCATCATTATCTTTAGTATATAAATAAATATTTACACACACACACACATAGAGATCCATCACTGAACAACCTAATGAATGATTTTAGTATCTTGATAACCAAATTATATATATATATATATATATATATATATAAGTACCAGGACAGTACATAAATGAGCAAATATTTTAATCACGTTTCAACTGCAAAACCAGATAACTGCAAGTTCGAAGGTTTTGCTCCACACAATGTATTGCACCCACACCTTTCCAGAGTGGCCTTTGTAAACCATGCGGCATCACTGCTTTTATCTGGTGCAAGCAAAATTGAATAACCACCTTTAGCAATTTGATCTTGAGCGGTCTTTAGATGTGCAAGAAATGGGTTTAGCAATCCTGAAGCAATTTTCTCTTTCTTGTCATTGGCTATGATGATCAAATCACACCTGAAAAATGCAAAAGTGTCAGGAGCACAAAATACCAATTTAAATTACTACAACAGCGCTGCTGCTGCTGCTATGCAATGACCCTAGGCTTTTATATTAATGGACTGCCAGCTAGCTGAAAATTTAAAAACGGATTATACTATACACACAAAAAATAATGATATGTTATACGCCAGCAACCAGTAACAACAGATCATCAAAGAAAATTCCCCATGCCCTTAACAATTAAGGAAGAACCGAAAGAGAAACATGAGATGTTCCCCATCTAAAATCACATCTAAAAATCAGCATGATTAGTATGGAATCAAAATCTTTTAAAGCAAGAAAGCTATCAAAAAATTAATCCATGGATACATCCTAAATCTTCAACTCCATGATCGAGAAAATTCTCATACGACAACTTACTTTCCAGAAAATTTCAACTGCCAAGAAAACGCATCAGTTTCTAATATACTTTATACATAATTTTCATTAGCAGTCCACAATGCCCCATGCCCTTCGTGTAATATTGGATTCAACAGTTATACATTACCAAATAAATAAATGACTAGTAATCCCACATTCGAACTTCAAGAAAACAATGAATGAGAGCAAGTTCCATAAGTGCTTGTTAGATGCTATTCATGCACAAAGCAAAAAGAGCTGTCATCGGAGTTGGGCATCGGTAACAATGAATGCCAACAAATACTTCCAAGCTATTACAAAGAAAAAAAAAATTCCAAACAGGCGAAATGGAGCTCCGCATCATCAGTTCACTTATATTAATACAAACAAAAGTTAGCTATGAGCAAAACATTATCAACAAACAATAGACTGCAGTATTCCAAACAATTTGGAAATACAAAGAGCCTCTGAGGAAATCGAGGACAGATTTTTATACCTCGTCCGAGTTGGAGTGAGCTGAAAAACAGCGGAGCTGAGTCGAGTACTCTGCTTCATACCTTCGAGTGGCTCGTCACACTAGCACTTGTCAGATCTCAGAGGAAAACAAATGCGTGATAAAACTCATTCACATTCACGAAAACTCTGCCTCAGAAAAGCGAAAATTGTTCCTACATCCTAAAAGCTTGACAAGAAAAGGCAAATTTTCGGTGGAGCAATAGACAGAAAGCTCGCGGGTTTTCTGATTAACAAGCCTAGCCAGCCTTCACAAGTAAACAAGTACCAATGCAAAAAGCATTTTGTTGTTACAAGGAGAGAGAGAAGTGAGGACTGTGAGGAAAAGAAAAGAGTGGGGAGTGGGGAAGAACCGACATAGAGACAACATTTATATGTATACATACAAAAAACAGTGCGTGTGCGTGTCTGTGAAATGAGAATGCGACGGTGGCCGAAGGGGAATTTGGATACTGTAAAAAGTGAACATTGCACAAGAAATGGAGAATGTGAATATCTGTAAATAATCTATGTTAAATGATTAACAAGGCAAAATCATCCCTCTATATAATTCTAGAATGCGCTGAGTCTATGTAACTGCTTCTGTTAATTCGGAATCCTACTTGCGAAGAATCATGCTTCGTAATTAGGTTTGGACAAATAATATTGATATATTAATAATTAATAATCTAGGTTTGGACATTACATAAAATTATTTAGCTAACTTAGATATTTTAAGATCACTTGTACTAAAGTAACCCTTTAGTTTCTTCTAATTTTACATTGTGCGATACTAAGTGACTAATATATTCCTCACTTTTGATTTGTTTCCTTCAATTAGTTATTGAATTGTAAATGTATTTTAAAAGTTGATAACTTTTCTATTTATTATCGGTTTTACATATATAATATATCAAATTAATCATCCTTTGATGATCTTCAATTTGACATCCATATTGTATATATTGAAATAAATAAATTATATTTATATTTACAATAATAAAAAATAATTATATTTATTAAAATTCATTAGAAAAATAAATTTATTTTTCAATTGATATATTTATGTTTAATATAGTTATATGTTGTAAGTTAAAAAAAATATTATAATATAACACAGGTAAGTCTCACAAGAAAAAAGTGTCATACTAAATATATAATTTTATAAAAGCTACTTAAATTTTTAACTATTTTTTCTCATTAATTTTAAATTTAAAGAAAAATAATTAGCAAGCACCCGTGTAATACACGGGAGTTGTACTAGTGCTTGTTAATTCATTAATTCAAAATTCAATGAGCAATTCTTTGTTGGTTAATTTGATTTATTGGCCACCTAATAAATCTCTCAAGATTGTAACATAAGACTTAAATAATATATAGAATGTTGCGTGCAATAGCGGGTTCCTGCGAACTGTAGAATTCGCTCCCGCGCGCATATGGATATACAATAGAAGTACTCCATGAGCCACAAACACACACACACACACACACATATACACACACACACATATATATATATATATATGATCGGGTTCACATGAGAATGGTGCTTAGTAGAAGAAATGAGAAAAATTCGTAACTATTAGATTATTAAAGTCAAAATAAACTTCCATTAAGGATATTTTAGACATTGCCATTACACAACTCTATCCACATCAGCATGTCACGTCACTATCCATACACCTAACAAAACACACACACACACAACAACAACACACACTAAGGCTAGAGAACGGCGGCACTCACACAACGCCGCCCCACCCACCAGCCAATCCACACGGCACCGCCACACCCACCGAGTCGGTCTCCACCGTTACTCGCTGACGGTCGAGAACGCAAGTGCCGCCGCCCTTTTTTCATCCACAGACTCCGCCGCTCGATCCGACAAATAGGTCGTCTCTTTTGGTCAGACACACGGCGGCGCCTGCACCTGGCGGTCGGAGACCTTCGACCACACGACACGTCGTACAATACGAACGCTGCACGCAGACCTTCTACCACTCGACGGTCCGCCGCCCGCCATCGCTGGCCTCCGCCCGCCGCCGCTGTCATACTATGTTCGAACTTCCTCTACAGCGCACCAATGACCGTCAGAGGCTGATGACGAACGAATTGAGTCAGAGATGGCAGTGAACGGCGGGAAGTTACATAATAGGATTAGAATTTTGGATTTCATGTTTTTTTTTTTAAATTATATAATTTTGAGGGGCCTTTTAGCAATTTTATTAATTTTGATTATCTTCAATTTATTTCATAGGAAAATTTGTAATTTTTTAAAATATATATAAAAATTAATTTTATATATTTTCTTATAGACATTTAAATATTATATTTTAACCAAAAAATAGTATATAATTAAATAAAATAAAATAATATAGTACTAAGTATACTTTTATAATAATAAAAAATGAAATATAAATGCTAAGTATATTTTTATAATAATACACGCAATATATCTTGGATCATATAAGGCACTTTACATACCACCACGATGCACTTTATAAAAATACACATTGCATTTTATAAAACAACACATTATACTCTATACAATCCACAATTAATGTAGATAACTTTCGCCAAAATACCACACATCATAAATCTATAGATTGCATCTACATAATAATTTAACATCCGTCATATCATCCGTACACAAACAACACAAGCATGTTAACGGACCCAAATTATAGTAGTGCACTTTATATATTAACATGTTTCACTTTATAACACACAGGGTTGCACTTTATAAACAACGCGCTTCACTTTGTCACGACACTTCATAATTAATGCCAATAACTCCCAACAAAATACTGCACAACGTACATCTAAAAAAAACCGAGCAATATTTTAATATAGTTATATTTTGTTGCATATATATTTTAGGTGTTTTCAACAAAATACATAATATAAATAAAAAAATTATTTTGATTATTTATGGTGATTTGATTAACCGACATAATAAATCGATTATGTAGGTTCAATTTTAGTTTGGCTCAGTGCGAATCATAAACATGAATGCACTGTAAGTAAACAATAGTATTAGAAGAGTTATGAATGACTATCAAACTAACCACAGTTAATTCTCTCGTCTGAGAGCGATTCACATTCTCTCGTTTGAGAGCGATCCTGCCATTCCTCTTCTTCTTCTTCTTCGATGTTAAATCTCACACATATTTAGTTTTCATTCTATCCTCCTTGGTTTCCTTTGGGGCAGCTATTAGTGGTTTTCTCTATTTTCTATTTTTTGCAGTGTTGTCTAAGGTTTCGATGGGAACCCCCAACTGCGTTGGTCAAGATGACGAAGTGGTCCAGAAGTTGCAGAATGTTTCGCTATCCAACAAAGAATTCTCATATATTGACCTGGGCAAAAATGATATAAAGATTAGCGCAGACGAATGCCACCGTAGCCTCTTTGGCAAAATTATAGGCGATAGGATAACTAGTTGGATTGGCGTCAAACGAGCTATGAGCCACATTTGGAGGCTTAGCCAACCTATGGAGATCAAAGAGTTGGGCCTTAACTACTACCAGTTCATCTTTCAAAGCAACGATGACAAAGACAAAGTGGCAAGAGGCACCAATTGGACTTACGACAATTAGTACCTCATTTTGTCCGAATGGAAAAGGGGACTGACGATCAACCATTCCACATTCAAAGAACTCAATCTTTGGGTCCAGGTGTTTAATATTCCATTAGATTGGCTTAGTACAGAAGTTGGTCTGAAGATAGGAAAGGTATTCAAACAAGTGCAAAATGTTGTTATTGTTGGTGTTGGCAGCCATGGTGGAAGAATTATGAGACTATTAGTTACAGTAGATCTTCAAAAACCACTACCACGTTGTGCTAATCTCAGACTGGAAGATCAAAAGGTTAGTGTGGGATTCAAGTATGAAAAATTAGTAAACCACTGCCACTACTGCGGTTTCATAGGCCATTTGGACCGGGCTTGCTCAATTAGGCTGGAAGATATTAAAGCTCACTCACTTCATGAGGGACAATATGGAGCTTGGATGAGGGCCACTGAATACAACAGATGGGCAGGACATCATTCATCAGGTCCCCAGAGTCCTCCTCGTAATGACAGCCCAACTTATCATATGCACTCGGACTCTCAAACTCCCATCACTAAATCTCCTGGAAATGACAGCAACAAAATTCTCTCGATTGAAGGCTCTCCTTCTCAGCTCAATAGGCAAGACTCTGCAGCATCCTCCTCTCATCCAAAAAAAGAAAACGATAGTTCAAGTTTCCCCTCAGCAACAAATGGAAACTACTCCCTCCTCAGCTTAGCATCCTGAAGACACGTCGCTAATCAAAATGATTTAAATGCTAAAAACGACATGGAGGTGGAAAATATACTTCTAACAGCTTCAAAGGACAAATCTATTCAAATCTCGGTTGCTGGCAAGTCAAATTACAAGCCTAAGCTATGGAAGAGATCATAATCCAGATTGGGAAGGATTCAAAGGCAATCCCTCATTTCCACTCATCCGGAGGATAATCTATCTACCAAAAGGCCTAGAGACACAGAGGAAATCCTCAAAGAAGATAGCATTTCTAAGAAACAGGCTAATAAAGATAATAAGAAGCAGAAAACTGACTTACACCAGGTGGGGGTGGCCAGCCTCGAATGGCACCCAAGCGACCAATGGTAGCTGCGGTGTGGAATTGTAGAGGGCTGGGTGGGCCCTCTACAATTTCCCAAATCCGAGAGTCATGTAAGACTCACCACCCAGCTTTTATATTTTTTTCAGAAACCAAGAAAAAAAAGCTGCTTTTGTTAAATCTGTTGCCAGGAAGGTGGGATTTGATAACAGATACTCTATTGTGGACCCTATTGGCTTAAGTGGAGTTCTTCTTTTAAGTTGGTCAGCCGAAGTTCAAATTCATCATGTGATGCAGAAAGCTTTCTACATTGTTGTGGAATATAGTTTAGCAGACTCCAGTCCTACTTGAGGAATTTTTGTATATCTCAGTACCAGCCCATTAGCTAGACAATCTCAATGGGAGGAACTTAAAATGGATCAACTTTCATGGGGAAATCTCTGGCACATAGTTGGGATTG